AGATCTAGGCTTTAATCATTCTCTCCCTGACATTTAGAGTAACCTTTGGCAAATTTCTCAACCTTTCCTTGTTCCAGGTGAGAAGGAAGTGCAGAGGACTTCACCCAGTGCAAAGACAGAAGACATGCAATGAATGGCTCTGAAGATCTTTAAGAGTATGTAATGCTATGTGGGATGTTTTATCAAAATTTCTCTGGGTTTTCAGAATTTTTTTTGGAATTAGTCCTGTGGGAATACGGCTTTCTGTTCTCACCTCTAATTCAGTCCCCTTTTCTCATGTTACTATCCACAACCTGAAACTGTTCTGTCATTTTAAAAAATTACCCATCCACCTCATCAACACCGGAGACTTTTCTCTCCAGACCCTTTCCGGTAGAACGTGGCTCGTATTCCCTTGTGAGAGACCAAACCAGTTACTCACTACGCCGTGTCAATGAAAGGAACTGTCATGAAGTCAGAAACTTGGAAACAGCAGCAGCTGCTTTGTCCTGGGTCCCATCGGGGGCAGGATGAAGTGCCACAGGACATTAATGCAGGCACCGAGACAAGTTCTGAGGACATTGAAAACACTTGCTGAGTCTCTTTAGAATCAACCCAAAGGAACAGACCTCTCTTCTCAGGAGAATTATTTGGTTGAAGGATTAGTGGAGGGAGAATTTGTAGTGTTTAGTTTCACATTTAAATTTCATTTCCTATGTAAATATTATGTGGTAACGTATCCAATGACTTTTTTATTATAAATTTTCTTTCACCTTTTCTACCTTCTTAAACCAAGTCAAAACCCATTCAACCTGTTTCTATTTTAATATTTCAGTTTCCCTTGTGTACCCCGTCTGCCTGCAACACCTGAATTCCAGGTGCACCATGCGATTCCCCCCCTCAGGGGATGGAGTCTTTCTTCAAAGGCCAGAGATGCATGAACGGACCTGTGTCAAATGACACTTGCTGGCTTTCTTACCCAGGTGTGGGGAGTGGAATCACATTTTATGCTTTAGGGTGCAAACTTCGGGCTCTCATTCTTTACCACAAAAGTACAATTTGTAGATCAACAAGGATGTGCCAGCTAGCCAGGACTGGGGACTGAGGCGGTGGCGGGGTGCTCAGTGGAAACTACATGAGTTATGTGTGTATGTGTGTGGGGGGGTACTTGCAGAGGTGTGGCATTCAGGACTAGAGAGACTTACCTGGGGTCTGCACCTGTTGGCCAGAATTATTGCTGCTGCTGCTTATTTGTATTACTTTTTCACTTGGAAAAATATAGTGAATCTATATTTACTCTTTTTCAGATACTGATCCTGACAGGTTTAGGGTCCTGCGGGGCTTCTGTTTTGTCCTGGACCCCGACTGCCTCACTGAAGGGCTCCTTTCTCAGCTTACCACAGCTGGGCAGAGACACAGAAATAAGACCTGGAGGTGGAATGGCTTCAGGGCCCTAGCCCACTGCTTCGGTTTCCATAGCAATGAGCCAGGGGTGGTACTCACCACAAAGCATCTTAAAGTCACAGATACATAATTTTGGGACTCCTATCAGGTGAGAAATACCACTCAACAATCACTTTGAAAGACATAATCTACTGTATTGCTCTGGTGGCTTTGGCTGAGGCTTTTCAATTCCCTGTTATGACCTTCCCCCCTTTAGAATAATTCCTTTTTTTTGGGTTGCTTTAAAAATTGATGGAAAAAGATGACCAATTCATGCCAGTCGAGATACAGAGTCTGAAGAGATGGTTTAAGATAATTTATTAAATTTATCCCTGAAGTTTTGGGAGAAAATGCAACACTAAAAGTTGTAATTAAAAGAATGCTGAGCCATCAGCCAGAGGCTCCGTGACTTTGGGTGAGTCCACAGGCCTCTCTGAGCTGTGATCTCCTACCTGGTAAAATCAAAGGACTGGGTCAGCTGATCTCTGAGTTTTCTGGGGCTCAAAATTTCACTGAATTTATGGTGTTATCACTGAATTTATGGTGTTATGTGATAGCAAGAAGAGATTCCATGAAAAAAAAAAAAACACCAGAGGGTTGTTCCGTCGATAATGATTATGTAGCAATGGCAGTGAGAAATTTGTTTGCAGAAAGGCTGTCAGTCGTAACATCATAAAGGCAGGAAAAAGGAAGGAGGGAAAAGGAAAAAGACTACCGTTTACCAGATGTCTGCTGTGTGCTAAGCAAATCCACAGACATGCGACAATGCTAAGTTCAGATATTTCTTCCTTAAGAGAGGCAGATGCCGTGGTGGCTCCTTGCTCCAAAAGTGCAGCAACAGCTGATCCTGATGGAGGCTTTCTGTGCGCCAGCCCCTCTTCCAACTCTTTACACATCCTCACACAAATCATTATCCCCATTCACAGACGAGAAAACGGAGGCAGGGGGACCTGGAGGATCCTTCAGAGCTGAGTGTGGACGATACTTCATCCATGGAGTCTTTGGTGTACCCGAAGAAAGTGCTACGCAGTGATTGGAGTATCAAACTGGGAGTTAGACACTGGACAGAGAATAGCTGCCTTTCCTAAGAAAGGGGGCCAGACTGAGGGCAGGAGAGACTGAGCTGGAAATGGGGCACCAGGAATTGGGGAGATTGAGCTCTAGGAGACCAAATAGGAAAGGCCAAGATATTTGCAAAAAGAGATATTTCTTCACATATCTTTCATACGCTGATGCCTCCCAAATGTATTTTTCTAGCTGCGACCTCTCTCTTGAGTTCTGGATTTGGAGCCATGTGATCATGAAAACTAGCCTTTATAAAGCTACTTTTGCTGTGTTCTGGTAACAAAGTTAATTGCTTTACAAATGTAAACTCAGACTTCACAGGCATCTCAAATTCAATCAGAACAGTGTTCCTCATTGCCCTGTCATCGCCAGACCTCTCCATGCTGTTACAATACCGGTTTGCCTCTAGCATTCCTCTCCTCATAATTGGCAACCCCATCAACCCAGCTCCTCGAATCCCCCACCATCATTGCCTTTCTTTCCCAGAACCTGCCCACCCGTTCTGCACCTGCCCCCAATGTGACAGTTTGCTAAAGCAGAGCTGACAGTTGCAGTGTGTGACTTAAAGCCCTCCTGTGTTTCCCACTGCTCTCAGGACAAAGTCCAAACCCCTTGTTATGGTTGTTTCCAGGCAGGGGCTGGCCCAGCCTCCTCTCCCACCTCCTCTCAAGCTCACCTCATTTCCCTTGCTCACCAGCTCCGGGGGCCTTCTTTCACATCCTAGAACTGCCTGGCACCTCCCGACTCAGGCTCTCCTTCTGTCTGGACTACACTGCAGGTGGTGACATCATAAAGTAGCTGGTTATGAAAGGAGCACTTCACCCTAAAACCAAGAGAAGCAGAGGCTCCTCTAGAAATCTTGAGAATGCTCTGTCCCAGACAGCTGGTTCTTCTTAAACCAAAATATTCAGGCAGAAAGAAAAAAAGGCCCAGGACACCTGAATTCCACTGGGCTGGGCAACAAGGACATCCTGGATGACCGCACCGCCACCAGCTCACACAGCCCAGCAGAGGTTAGGACTCTCAGGCTGGGAGTCATCTTCAAAGGAGAGGCAGAGCCTGCTGGGCCTTCGGAGCAGGGTCCCTGAGCCTCGACTCACTTCTGCCGCACGGATACTGATCAGTGCCTGCCAGAGGGACCTCTGACAGCTCTGCCCTAAACGGGATTGGGATCTTCTTTAGCTTAAATGGTAATAATTGAAGTGAACTGAGTCACTACAAAAGATTATTTATTCAGTGGACATTTTTTCAAGGGCCTACTATGTACCAGGCAATGCCCTAGGCGTGGCCTATCTACTGGATGCTACATGCTGAATGTTACAGATGACGTGTTTTAGTCTGAATTCTGTAATTATATAGGATATAATGAATAGTACACCTATATTTTGTGTCTTTTATAAGATGCGTTAAACACGACACACTGCAGTCTATAGACAATGGGTAATGCACACAATATACTATGTGGGTGTTATATCTCCTATCAGTGGTTTGCCATAATAGGTATTTACTAAGTGTTGAATGGGGAAAACATTCAGCACCATGTACTCTGGCAGTGCCTGGCCATTGGGGATTGATTCTTCTAACCCTTCTCCTTTCTTAGCTCTCTCCTTTGGTGCGTGAATGCCTTTGCCCGCCCGAGTCTGGGCCGGTGTGCACCAGGGGACAAGAGGCTGCGAGCCCAGGGGCCCTGTGCCCTGGAAGGACCGACGGCGGCACAGCCAGCTCTGCCTCCCAGCCCCGTCCAGGGAGGGTGTCCGGATGTCACAGATCCCTGGTCCTTTGCTTCCCCGAGAACAGAGTTCGGACCAGGAAGCGGCGGACCTGGAAGGGGCCTTCGTGACAGAGTCTGGTCCAACTCTTTCATTAGTCCTTGGTCCCACTCCCCAGTCCCCAGACCAGCTAAGACAACGGGGGCGCACGCCTGAGTTCTTAGCGGCAATAATTCCCCCCAGTTGTCCCGGAGGGAAACCAGCTCCGGGGGCCTTCTTTCGTTTTCTGGGTACCTCCCGACCCAGGCTCTCTTTCTGTCTGAACTAGGAAATGAGGCGAGCAATAGGCTCTGCTATGGAAACAAGTGGCAGAAAGCTCGGGGTCCCTTCCTAAGTACTTCCACTCACCCCAGGATGGACGAATGGACAAAAGAAGGAAAAAAGGGAGGGAAGGAGGGAGAGCGGATGGGTGGGTGGGTGGGTGGATGGGCAAATGGGCGAATGCGCAAGAGCCTGAGAGACCTAACTCCGGCCCGCGGGTCGAACCCCGGGTGGACTCCCTCACTCACTCGCCCACACCCCACCCCGGGCCGCTGCGTCTCCCCCGCCCCCCCCCCCACCCCAACAGCGCCCCCCCCCCCGCGCCCCCGCTCTGGCGGAGCGAAAGAGGGTGCGGGGAGAGGGGCGTAGGGGTGGGGGGAGCGGCAAGGAGGAGGGGAGGTGGGGAAGGGGAGGGCCTTGGCGGTGGAGGGGAGGGGCGCACGGGGAGAGGGCGCGGCGGGCGCCTGTCTGCGGTGCGGGAGGGCTGGGGACGCGATGCCACCGCCGCCGCTGTCTCTCCAGCCCGGGCTGCGCCGCGGGGGCTGAGCCGCAGCCCCAGCCGCGAGCCCAGCCGCTGCCGGGTGAGCCCGCCGCCCGGGAGGATGGGCTGCGGCGGGAGCAGGGCCGATGCCATTGAGCCCCGCTACTACGAGAGCTGGACACGAGAGACCGAGTCCACCTGGCTCACCTACACCGACTCGGACACGCCGCCCAGCAACGCCGCCCCGGACAGCGGCCCCGAGGCGGGAGGCCTGCACGCGGGTGAGTGAGCCCTGCTCCTGCAGACCCCCGGGCGCCGAGAGGCCGGGGCACCGGCAGGAAGCGGGTAGGGGCCAGGGGAGGAGGGAGACAGACAGACGGACGGACGGACGGACGGACGGACAGAGAGTAAGCGCCCGCACAGGCTGACGGCCCCAGGCCCGGGGAGCAGGGTCAGAGAGGGACCCTTACAGAAGCTGGGAAACCAGCACTTCTCGGCTCCGCCGGGGCAGGCTCCCTGCTGGGGCTGGTTGGGGTGGGAGGACCGCCCCCCTGGCACGCCCAGCTGCCCCTCAGTCCACCCACGCTCCGGCCCACCCGGTTCGCCTCCTCCCGCACTTCGGTCCATGCCCCGTCTGGCCTCCTGCGTGCCCAGCAGGGTCACTTCTCCATGCATTGGCCACCTGGCCCCTCTCTCCCCGGACTTAGAGACGCTGCTCGGACCCAGATTGTCTGGGCTCAGTCCTCCTGGTCGCCTCCCCTTCTCTCCCTGCTGGGACGGTGTCCCCTCGACAGCTTCCGAACCCAGAACCCTAGGTCAGGGCGAAATAAACACCCTCTGGCTCCATCACTTCTGCACTGAGCTCACTTTTCAGGCAGTTGTGTCACCGGGAAGGACTTCCTTCTCTACCCAGGTGCCTCGGCGCCTTGCCCGAGGCAGGGCCGGGACGTGGTGAGGACCGTAAGTTCCATCCTCCTACCTTGGTCCTTCCGCTCGGCCGAGTTCCAAGGGGAGACTGTGCAAAGAGCTTTCTGACCCAGTCACGATATCAGGTTTATTAATTATTATTATTATTATTATTATTATTATTATTATTAATGTCTTGGCAGACACTGATAATTGCAGGATAGAGATGAAAATAGACTGATGTTTCCACAGGCTGGCCTTTGGTGGTGTGAGACCTGTTAGTGATGCGAAAAGGCAAAATCTCATTACTTATTACAGGGATGCTGTCAAAAACCAGATCACCATTTGGATGAAAATGTTTCCAACCCTTTTCTGACTCCTTAATGTTATTGGCATTTTTGAATCATGAAATCTAAAATAGAAAACAAGGTTAATTTGAAGTATACTGTATAGTGTAAGGAGGAAAGAAGTGTGAACTACTCTTGAAAAATCAATACTCCTCAATCAATGCCTCCTAAATGCGAGTTGTCCCTTTAATCTTGAGAATCGGTCTCTCCATCTTTTAGGACCAAAGCTGCTTCCCTTTTGCATGAGCTTTGTGATTCCTTTTTTAAAAAAGCGAGAACCATCAGTGAGAGCGGTTCGAGGCATAACACCATGTTCGTCTCTAATTTTTCTGACTCACAGTAGCAATCAAAGCGGTGATTTTGTGTCGCTGATGCTTTCAGCAACTTTCCAAATGAGGTGTTGCCTGAATTCAGTGTCAGAGTGAAGATAAGACATAAGCCTCTAAAGTGGACCTGGTTAGTGTTGTACGTAACAGCCTCTCCTCTGCAGAGTCAAAGGCCAGAGCTGCACTCAGAGGAAAGAAGGTTAAAAGGATCTAGTGTGAAAAAGAACGGAGTACAGCATCAGGGAGTGGTTGCCTAGGTGACTGGGAGTCTATAGTGTGTGTGTGTGTTGTCTGTGTTCATATTTATGGGTGTGAGAGTTATTATGTGCTGGCTAAATATGTACATATTTATTAATTTCCAAAGCTTATTATTTATTACTCTGCCATCCTGAGTCAGATCCCATCAGCCATATGAGATCTGGTCCCTGCAAACAGGTGGGGCCTGGGACAAGCCCGCTCACTTGTGGTACCCTGCCAGGGTACCAGACGTGGGCAGCCCTGCCAGGCAGGTGCTCCTGAAGATCTGCGTCCCTCACAGGAAGAGCTCCACTCCAGTCCCAGGACAGCGAGTAGCTTTGCAATTGGCAAGACTCTTAGGTGGGCAGGGTCACTTCAATTCCCTAGAAATTTTCGTCAGCCTCAGGGGAGAGCGAGATTTCTGAAATCGAGGTGGGATCAGGCCCCCCTGGAGGGGCACTGGCAGTCCCTTGGCCTTTTGGAAAAGTGGCCTGATTCCCGTGAATATTTCAGACTGGGAACTGGACATCTTTAGTTAGCATGGTCATTGGAGAAAACTACAAATCTCCTGGGTTTCAGCCACCACGGGGGATTAGCCAGGGTTCTTTTTTCCTTTCTTCTTCCCTGTTCCCTTGTCTCACCCACCCCCACCAGCGCCCACCTAGGAACTCAGTCCCAGGCTTCAGGGGGCACCTACCGCCCACAGTGAATGTGCTGAGGTAGGAAGCCGGAATGCCATTTCCCCCGTTTCCATCAACCCTTTTCCGACGGGGGACAAAAAGAAGGGCTGGATTCGGGAGAGTCCAGATGGTAAAAATCACAAACATGGCTTCATCACTAGAGTTCTAAAGCTAGAGAGGGTCTTGGGAGGTTGTCTATTCAAAGTAGACGGGACTCAGTTAAATTGCCCTGGTCTACACATTCTCTCAGCCTGTTCATAGTTCTTACTTATCCCCCAGTTCCCTCTGCCTCCAAAGGTCCTTTCTTTCTGAGCCAGCTGGTCACTCCTTTAGTGTCAAATTGTAGTTACTTTCTGCTGTCCCCCTCCCCAACCTCAGGAGCTATGCAGGAGTGGACTCATCATCTCTGCGTGCTCTGTGCTGGCACCGTGGGGGGCATGTCTTACAGTGGAGGGCGTGTCACCTATAGGTGTTCAGTAAGTATGGGGGGGCATGTTTTCCTGTCAGTCCCACCGAGGAAAGAGCTTCCTGCCTCCTCCTCACTCAAAAAGGGATTCTGAGGTTCCCATTTTCTGGAGATCATTTCCACTAGCCAGCAGAATTCAATTAAGTTTTTAGATTCAGCTATTATGTAGACTGGAATTAAAGACTTAGCTGAAGCCAACAGTATCTGGTATCCATTGCTTCTTCTCCATGTCGCCGAAGCCTGTCTCTCTGTCACAGGAGGAAATTAAATTGGCCTGGCAGGATTTAGTCCTCATAAAGTCAGTTTGCTGGATTGATTTTTGCTTCCGCCGTCTGATGGGGGTCTCCCAAAGAAGAAGGGAGACAGGTCGTCATGCCCCAGACTCGCTCAGCTATTCCATACGTTCAGAGCTTCCCAGCTTCCCTTTGATTTGATCACAAGTCCCCTTAATTACATCCTTAAACATCCCCTTTTGTGCTGCTATTTTTCTGATTTCTCTAGAGAATAAAACATTTCAAATTTCTCTAAAGTGCTTCTACTTTATAGTTTTAAATTGCTATAATAATTGATTTAGTAGATGTGACATAAAAGATTGCAAAATTAGAGACTCACAGCAAAATGATTTCCCTAAATAAATGGAAATGTCAAATAAAATGCAGGCACTCAACATCACCGATAGCTACCACGTGTTGAAGACTTGCCCAGGGCCAGGTGCTGTATCAGCGGCACTTACATAAATCACCAGGGTTCATCCTCCTGGCTGGAATATTCCTATCCCTCTTTTACAAGCGAGGGAATGAGGTTTAGACTGTGCAGTGATCTGCCCCAGTCTAGGACCAGAATCCAAAGCCTATTCTCCTAACCACTGCCTTCCTGACTAATGGGGGATTAACTAGAATTCTTGACTTTACCGGTGATAGGACTCGAACACTAGTCTGATCTCTTAATATTCTAGTTTGGTCTTAGCACAGTTTTTTCCTGCAGCAGGTCTGAGCATGGGACACCTCTCCCTAGGAACCCAGGCTGCCGCATACCTTCGTGGAGCAGTTTCCCTTGTGAGAAACTATTCTTGCTGCCTGGTAATCTCTCCCTGGGGAGCCCTGGGCCCTCGGGATCAAGGATGCACAGACAACTCTCTCAATATTTCAAAATTGCTATTGTGTCTCCTCTCACCGTCGGTCCTCCAGTCAGTTCTCAGACCTACGTGGGCTTCACCATATGTCTCCAAACACTGCTTGGTTTGTCAAAGTCCTCTATACAAGGGCACCCAGGGCCAGCTCCACATTACATACCAAAGACTCACGTGGGATAAGTTAAAGCCCTTAGATCTTTCTTTCCAGTCAAATTTGAGTTCTGTGACATCAGGGACATTGTTTTCACTGCTATACACCCAGCTCCTGGCACAGTGACTGGAATACAGATGGCATTTAATAAGTGTTTGTTGAATGAATTGCCGCCCACCCCTCATGAATCCTGCATTTATACTACTGATTGCAGTAACCCACATTTGGGGTTTTGATATTTATTCTTGTTAAAATTATTTTTGTTGGTTTCAGTTTAATGTTTAAACTTGTTGACCTTGATTCATTTTGATAAAAATGCCATGAAAAAAAAAGTTCCAGGTCTTAATTACCCTGTGTTGACAGACTGAAAATAAAAGACAATTATTTGCTTTTGTCCATTCATTACACACTTGGTGCGAAGACGAGTAAGTTGGTCATACAGGGGAGACACAAAGGCACAGCAGGGGGGCAGGACGCAGGGGCCGTGCAGGGACCCAGCGGTGTGTGTCCTCGGAGTGTGTGTACAGGCCCCCGCAGGCAGCAGCCCGAGGGAGCCACACGGTTCCTGCGGTGCCCCCGAAGAAGCAGAGGAAAGTCATCTGGATCCCCTCCCTGAGATGAGGGTGCCTGCGGAGAACCAGCTGGGGCTCCCTGATGGCAAAGTCTTCTCCTTCTCCCCAGCTCTCCGTACACACCTCTTCCACTTGTGGTTACAGTTCCAGGTAATTATTGACGAATGTCTGCGCCCCCCACCCCAGGAAGGACCAGCCCTGTTAGGTAAGGGGTCTTTCTGCTCACCACTGGATCCCTATCCTGATGCTGTGCCAGTTACAGCAGGATGTCACATGCTGCCTCTCGTGTAAATAAATCTCCTAAAACTTCTGTGCGTGTGTTATTGTCTTCCTGTGGTCCCCAGAGGTGACATTGTCTTTCCTCAGAAGTTCTACTTGTACAGAAGAAGTTCCATTTGCTTCTCCTTTTTGGGTTCTTGTCTGCCCGATGGGCTGCAGGGTGAGAAAACATGCCCGCCTCTCTG